TCAGCTCAACGATTCGACTATGTGCATCGATTACTTCCAAAATTAAAACTTCAATCTGAAGACTGTTTATATATGAATCTTTTTGTGCCGGAACGATTAGGTGAGTTCGGATTCCTACCTATCGTATGTGTTCCCCCCAAAAAGCTTTTATGAACGGGTTTTTCAAAAGCGAAACTTCAATAGGGTGTTGTGTCGGTAAAAAAACAGGCATTCACCTGCAGAAAATTCCGTCCTTCACCTCAATCGTCTTTTCCGATTCCATATTTTCAGATCGAGGCATAAAAGAAGAAAAGATCAGTGAAAAAGAAAATATACGGAAAAGAAATTGGCGTGCTTTTCGGGAAAATTATCATGTTTCATAGATCAAACAACGCCAGCGGACAAATTTCAGACCAAATGTGATCTGGGGAAAATGCTTTAATGAGATTCTGAAGTTTTGTTGAATTTCGGCACTGCGGTAGCAATATGTATGACACAGTGGTGCTGAATCTTTAATAAGGTCATGATGAACTGGGCATGTCCTGCCGTTGGGGTACAGTTTGTACAAAACACCACTCCTCCTCCTAGAACTTTCACCCTTTGGTACGACCCCTTCCCCACCACCAATCCTACCCACCATCTGCCTGTATTTCTCATATTTCTACTTTTTTCCAAATTTTTTCCCCAAAAATTCCTTCAATTTTCTCCCCAAAAACCTACAAGTGGGAGAGGAAGGAGCGGTGAGTATTGAGGTATACAACGCGTTTGTAACGGAAAAAAACCCAAGAAAGTTCAATAACAGAAAAGGTTCTTCTTCAAGGCAGTTGGCACGATAAATCCCCAAGACGAGTAGGATTAATACGCCTGGCAGGACGGAATTCCGCGACCCTGAGCAGGCGCTGCATAATGCCTTTTCCAAGGAGGTGCCCTTATAAGGGCCCTATCAAGCCACAACATTCCGACCCAAACGCCCGCCACGCCCGCCCGCCCACAAATGGACGACCGTTCCTGACGCTCTAATCGATTCATTTGCTAAGCAAATTATGAAGCGAAGGGATTGGTATGAAGCGGCCGTGCTGCATGGATATATGAGTACACATATGCAGCCGTACCTTCGGTAGCGGTTATTGGCAAGATGCCTACGGGAAACTCGTCCAAAATTGATTTTGAACACATGAGAACGGAGGCTTTTTTTCGCAGGATTTTGACCGTTTCACTCCGTTCTTTCGCCATTTCCCCACTATATAGCGCCCTACTATTAGGTCGTTGCAAAAGAAATGCAGGATTTCGTTTTTT